CTGCCGTAACTCTGAAGGAGGCCACTTTTCAGTTCCTCTGACACAACGGCGGTTGACCCTGAAGGTGGAACTGCCGGGAACTGGTGGCTCCATTCAGGACCCCCCCCACACACACGTTTCTCCACCGTACATTTCTACAGACGTCTGATCATCCATTTTGAAGCAAATGGTGTCTGCCTGGCCCTGCCTTTGTGCTTCAGAGCCTCCCTCGCGTCCCTTCTGTGTTTCAGATTCGCCTCACGTGGCCCCAATCTCAGGGAAGGATCTTGGGAACTGTTTGAGACTGCAGACTGTTTCAAGTGTTCATTTCCACTTGGATCGCATGCAGTTCTATCTGCATTTGACACCCGCACAGCCCCTGCGGAAGGGCCTCAGGGACACCTTCACACATTTCTAGAAGGGATGCTCACTTTTTTTTTGGGGGGGGGAGATGAAAACAGAAGAGTCATGCTTCTTCTAACAGGGAAGAGAAAACTATCTTGCTTTTCAGTTCATCTTGAAACAAAAGAAAGGTGATATGACATCACGGCTGGTGGGCGCATTTACCAAAGACCCGGGAGAGCGGAGAGTGATGTGACCGAGGGAAGAGAAAACTATCTTGCTTTTCAGCATCTTGAAACAAAAGAAAGGTGATACGACATCACGGCTGGTGGGTGCATTTACCAAAGACCCGGGGGAGCGGAGAGCGATGTGACTGTCCTTTGCAGGTATTAGGGAAGGGACTCTAGTTGGGGGGAAAAGATATATGAGATAAGAAGCAATGATCAACTCCAATTAAAAGCCAAGTGGACAGAACAGCCTGTGACCCTTCTCCCAGGTTTATCGTGAGACACAACTACACCTTTTGGCCTCTCTTCCCGCCATCTTAGCCCTCTTTGGACAGCTGGCAAGAAACAGGCTGGGTGACCTCAGCAGCATCCCCGCTTCATTTGAACCCGCTCCACCAACGGCACCTCCCACTCTGCCACTTTGCTCTTTGCACGTTGGCATGCCAGTGGAAACTGCAGTGCCACGGGGCAACCTGTCACCTCTAGGGAGGAGGCCACGCACGCTGCTGCTCTCTGGCTCCCTGGAGAAGGTTGTGCCAGTGGAAACTGCAGTGCCACGGGGCCACCTGTCACCTCTAGGGAGGAAGCCACGCAGCACGCTGCTGCTCTGTGGCTCCCTGGAGAAGGCTGAGCCAGTTTGGTGTGGTGGTTAAGTGCACGGACTCTGATCTGGGAGAACCGGGTTTGATTCCCCCCACTCCCTCCACATGCAGCTGCTGGGGTGACCCTTGGGTCAGTCATAAGTTCTTTCAGAGCTGTTCTCTCAGGAGCAGTTCTCAAAAGAGCTCTCTCAGCCCCACCTCCCTCACAGGGTGCCTGTTGTGGGGAGGGGAAGGGAAAGGAGATTGTAAACTGCTCCGAGACGCCTTCGGGTAGTGAAGGGCCATGGGGTATAAACCCAATCTCTCCTCTCTCCTTCCAAGTTATTCCGGACCCTGCAACTTAGTACAACAGCTTACAACATGGAAAACTTTCTGTGAAGTATTATGGGACAACCCGTGACGGAACACTGCTGTCCCACAGAGATGGACGTGCAGAGGAATACACCACCAGGAATGATAACGAGGGGGAAACGCTGGGGCCGCTCCTGTCAGAAGGCACGAAGCACAGCCACAGGACACACACCCACCCACCCTCACCTGGCTACCCGGACGGCCACCTGAATCCCATCCGGGAGGCGGCAGAGCAGCAGCCTGGCAGGAGCTCTTTGCAACGTAGAAACCAACCAGTCATCTCAAAATGCTGGCCTCATAAAGCTCATTGACTCTGAGCCAACGCAATTTTCTCACACTTTACCCAACAGAAATGGGCAGGTTGTCTATGCCGATTCTGGCAGAGCTTCTCTGGAAGTCAGCGTTCCTTTTAGCAGTTCACATGGAAGGGATAAGAAAAATCACGCTTGGACACTTCAGACGCCGAGTCTCTTACAGAGGCCACGGAATGAGGAGGCAGCTCAGGATGCGGGGGGTGGGGGGTGACGGGGAGGCACCCTCCTCTGTGTAAAAAGGCACCCCAAGTAAAAAAATATTTCTCAGTCAAGCTAATATCTGACTTTCAGGGAGGTGTTTTTAGGCAGGGGAACATTCAGAAGTGTGATCCCAAAAGAATGTAACAACATAAGAAGAGCCCTGCTGGACCAGACCAGTGAGGGTCCATCTAGTCCAGCATCCCATCTCAAACAGAGGCCAACCAGTCCCTCTGGAGGGCCAGCAACAGGGCACAGAGGCCGAGGCCTTCCCCTGATGTTAAGAACATCCGAAGAGCCCTGCTGGCTCAGACCAGTGAGGGTCCATCTAGTCCAGCCTCCCGTCTCTCACACAGGGGCCAACCGGTTCCTCTGGAGGGCCAACAACAGGGCAGAGAGGCCGAGGCCTTCCC